TCCAAGCAAATTATAAACGAAAAAAGAGAAATGTCAAATCCAAAATTGAATATCTTAAAGATAAATTAACAAATTGTAAAAAAAAAACAAGTACTCTGCTAAAACATGGAAAATAGTTAAAACATCACAAAGATCCTCTAAATTCCAGAATTAGTGCGAATGAATTTAATTATTTCTTCGCTGAAATTGTACAACTCACATACGAACAAACAAACGCTTCCATGTCTCAGCAAATTGCAGGTAAAATAATGCCACTAGCCATTATTTTCAGACCACAGCCTGTAAAAATAGAAACAGTAATCTTAACAATAAAACACCTGTGCGGAACAAATGCTATGGGAGAAGAAGGAATTGCTATTCGTTTTATTAGAGGCAGTCTACAGGCAATGGGTTTTTATCTAACGGTTATCATTAACACATCTCTAGTCAACGGTGATTTCCCATCGCTTTGGAAACATGATATAATAACACCAGTTTTCAAATCCGGAAACACAGACTAAGTCAATAACTATCGCCCTAACTATCATACTATCTGTCCTGTTAAAAGTTCTCGAAGAAAATCGAAGTAGACCCATTGACAATATTTCTGGAGACAAATGACCTACTATCCAAAACACAACATGGTTTCAGAAGTTGTCTACTGAAACATTATTACAGATCACAAATAAAATTTATGAGAATTTATGTCAACCACGAAATCCTCATAAGTAAACTAATTTATTACAACATCGATATATACTGGTTCAGAAGTTCTAAATAACAGAAGCTAATCAGTCAAAATTCACGAGAAAACATCAACAAAACAGATACTATCTCTCGGTGTTTCACAAGGATCTATATTAGGCTCAATCCTGTTTAAAATATTCGTAAATGACTTATCACTCATAGCCCAAAATGGCCTTTTTGTTCAATACACCGATGATTCACAATTTCTCCACAGTGATTCAGTAAACAATTTAGGTGAACTAAAAGACCCAGGAGACATTGACACTAATAAAATGATACAAATGGCCTCGAGATAAATCCAGATAAAACACAATATATCTTCATAGGTAGTTGGCAAAATGTCGCCAAATTTCCGGTAACCACCGCTATAATATTTGAAGACAGCTATGTAAGACCGAGCACTTCTGTAAAAAGCCTAGGCGTAAACATTGACAGATTCATGACATTTGAGAACCATGTCGACAACATCCATAGGAAAGTAATGGGCACATTAATTGACCTAAGTCACATAAAAAACAAGTTCCCTGCTGAAACTAGGATATCAACTATACAAACACTAGTTTTCAGTATAAATAATTAATGTTCAAACATCTGGGGCACAACAAACAAAGGCACATTCAGAAAATTAAAGAATACAGAACTTTCCAGCGAGAGCAGCACTTGGTAATGTAAATAAGTACGATCACATTACCCCACACATAAACAAACGAAATTGATTAAAAGTACAAAACAAATGTAACTATGTGTATGTGCACACACACACACAACCACACTGTGAAGGTGTAGGAAACACTTTGAACTACAGGTATGATATATTATAGCCATAAGATAAGTCCTACAAGGAAGACAATTATATATCAAGAATAAAAGAATATGTATCACGCCAAATCGGAAGGAAAATATATATATATATTTTTTAACAGCCATTCATTCCACTGCAGGACATAGACCTCTCTCAATTCAGTATTGAGAGGTTATATGGCAGTGTCACCCTTGCCTGATTGAATGCCCTTCCTAATCAACCGCGGTTCGGCGCGTTAACACCTGTGCCACGGCGGCGACTTTCCCTACGAAACCTGCGTTTGACTTCACAAGTCGATATGTCGTTTTCTCAGGCTCGAGTCAGCAGTCAGAGCGTAGGCATTTTTACGACTGCCGTGACGGGGAATTGAACCACGAGGGTCGGAGTCCAGTGCTCTAACCACTGAGCTATCGCGGCAGTCATATATATATATATACATATGTATCAGTAAATAGAGAGGTAGCGAGGTGTGGTGTTCAAGTCGAGCTAGAGTTCAATGAGATGTAAGTTTTCCCGAGTTGAATTGGCCTCGGCAGCGCCAGGAGTTGCCTGTGGTTAGGACTGGCTTGAGGTACGGTCGCCCCCACCCCTTTACAGGTGCAGACAGGTAGTCTCCGCCCCCGTGTCCGGCAGACGGGGACTTACCTAAGGGCGATTTTCACTGTGACAGGCTCACCCGCGCTTGCCGATGCGGTCAGTCGCGACACTCGATGCTTTGACATGGCGGTTACAATGACTGTGGAAGGAGCTAGTGTCATTCTGGCCTGGAGATTATTAGTATCTGTGAAAAGTCAGGTGTGGGCGGATTAGCATTTCAAATCTATGGATATTTAATTTTGTAAGCAAATGTAATTCTGTGTGTATTTATGTTACTTAATTTCACACACACAAGCACACTGTATATATATATATACATATATATATACATATACATATATGTATGTATATATATATACATATACACACACAAGCACACTATATATATATATATATATATATATATATATATATATATATATATATATACATATATTTTTGTATATATATATATATATATATATATATATATATATATATATATATATACATATACAAACACACACACACACAGAAATGGTTGAAAATAATGTATATATATCTTGATCGTAAACGGCAAATTCTGTCTGTCCTTCCAGACGTATGTGGTTGCCATGAGCATGATAGTGAAAGTGTAGTTGTTCTGATAATTTCTACATTATTAGTCTTTATAGAAGTCCTAATTCCGATGGCAGCATTTGTGATTATTTACTGACTTCACATATCTCCATTCGAGAGAATGATAGGAAATCAGTCTTTACTGTCATCGATGATTTTAATGCCCACCACCTAGACTGGCTGAATTCCGTGTCCCCAGTTGACCGCCATGGCTTTTCTGCCTTGGATTTCTCAGATGTGATTGGGTGTGAACAGCCAGTCCGCGGTGCAACTCACAGGATTGGAAATCTTTTGAATCTTTTATCAATTGGTGTGAGAGGGTTGATTTATGTAGATTGGTTCTCACCACCGTAGTCTAGACTGTAAGATCCAGAGGGACTTTCCAATACCATATTTTACCGTTCACATGATAGAGCATGGGTTAATGAACGGTGTGGCCAGGCTTATAGGGACAAGCATACTGCCTATAATCTCTTGTTTGCTAACTGCTATCGTCCTTATTGGGAAATGATGTTGCCGTGCGGAATCTAGCAATTAATGTATATAAGGAGTTTAAATCAAAATACAATGCTCATTTGAAAGATGTTCTCTCAAAAGCGTCACAGCCTCATAAATGGTAGTCAACGTGTAAAGCATCTGTTTGGTGTTGAGACTTCCATTCCTCCTTTAATGAAGCCTTATGATAGTGTAACATATGGTCCGACTGAGAAAGCTACCTTGTTAGTAGAATGCTTTAATTGAAAACAAAGCTTAGAAGATATTTCATGTCACCCATTACCATGCTTTAATTCATTCCTAGTATCTGTTGCCAGAGTTAGACGAATATGACTCCAATGGCTTGTTTCCTTTTGATTTTAAAAAGACCCAATGGTCAATTAGCTCCTAAACTAGCTGTAATCTTACGTCTTTTAGTTCGCCAAGGGTCACTTGAGAGTGCTGGCGCAGTGGGTCCTATTCCGAAGAGCCACTGCCGTCCTCACCCAC